GGAAACACATAGACTATTGTGGAGATTGATTTTGGAATTTAGATGCACTGTTATCAATTGTGCTTAGCCGTACATGTTCATATCCTTGAAGATGTATCATGGACGGAGCACAATTTCAAAACGGAACCTGGAGCTTTTAGCGAGCCTGTGTGTCGGGAAGCAAGCCCGCTCTGCGAGAACAGTTGTACTTTGTGGGCTTCCTTCCTGGTGTCTGGTAACCTGTGGGATTCACACTGGGCGAGCCTTTTTGCTCCCATTTATCCTCAAAGGCATGGAAGTGAATTAAAACCATAAGAAACCCACAGCTAATGGAAAATTAAAGGTTTTTCAATTCAGATTTACTGCTTGTGAATTCAGATGACAGCCATTAAATCCTGACCATGGGGCTAGACGCCACCGCAGAATAATCTGGCTCCTGGGCGAAATTCTTGATTTATTGCTGTTCCCCGTGATTTATTCTCCAGGCGCACATGCCTCCTCCCTGATTCCTGATGGGTCCCAGGTTTTACTGAGGATTTTAGAAATGATCTGTCCCTTCCTCCCCACGCCACCCTCAAGTCCTATTATCTCATTTCCAACTATATTGAGTCTCCAGGACTCTTTAATTATAATTTGAGGCTCATTGCCATTTTATCTTCTGGAAAATACAAAGCAGGTCAGTGACTGCTTAAGACTTTGTGCTAAGCAACTTCTTAGCATTTTTGCGAATCAATAAGGTCTTTATTGATCCTGTTTCAAGTGAGGTAAAGAAGCAAACCCTGGCTGCCTGCCTCTGGAGTCAGGTGTTGTGCGCTGCATTTTATGTGCGTGGTCAAATTTCATCTTCATGATGGCTCTTAAGGGCCAATGCTATTATTCCTCTCTTAAAGATTAGAAAACCGTTGCTTAATGAGAAAACTGGAATAACTCACGCGAGGCCACACAGATAGAACCTGGTGGACCTGAGAAAGTAAAACTTACGTATCTGGTTTCAAAGCCCAGTGTAAAAATGTGTCTCTTCTTGGTTTGGAATAAGCCTCTGGAACAATCAAATGTATTTCAGGGGACAATTACTGCTTAGGCAAATTTCCTGTAGTTAAAAGATTAGAGAAATAGCCTCTCTCCCCCTCCACACTCCATCCAAGTGAAAAGATGAATGCTAAAAGTCAGTGATTGCTGAATTTCATTGTGGCCAAAATATATGCAAATCTTAGATAGGAGATAAGTAATCTACACGGCACTGAAACAGACGAGAGAGAGAACTGTATAAAAGGAATATATGATGAGGTATTATTGGCATGACAAGAGTCCAGAATAAGAGCTGCATAGTAAAGTGGTCTGGGTTGGGAGTGGGGACTCTGTGTAACAGTGAATGAACTTTTTTCCCCAAGAAAAAAAGCCATCTGGGGGCGGGGGCGGGGGAGGGAGCAGGGACGAAAATATGCAACAACGAATGATTGGAAACCCAAGTTCTTTGTAAACTTTAATTAAAATCTCAATTTTTT